CTGGACCTGGCTGGCTGGCTGCCTGGTTGGCTGGCGGGCTGGCGGGCGGGCGGGCGGACTGGCTGGCTGGTACAAAATTTTTTTTTCTCATATAAACCTTGTTAAGCGGTGTAAGGAATAAGTATGATCTTTCTGGAAGAAGCCGGAAATCACCTTTCTGCGTATGCTCGTATCAGCGACTGAAACGAAGAAGCTTTTTCTCATCAGCTTTCGTCTTATTGTTTGCAGACCGTGAGTGCCCTCAAGTATTTGAACGAAATAAAACCACCAGTCATTCACTACGATTTAAAGCCTGGTAAGTGATATTCTTTGTTGCGCCGGACTGCGGCGCCGTTTGTCAGATCAAAGGACCTGAGTTATTTCGGCCACGTACAAAATTAGCTTTAAATTGAAGGAAACCTGAAAATAGTAGTTATCTAAGATAGAAAAACACGAAAGAGATAATATTAAATCATAAAGGACCAAGGATGGTTAAGGATGGAGAAGATTAACACGGATTACAAACGACAAACTTGAAAAATTTAGGCTAAACTTTTCAAGATGCGCAAACCTTGACCCAGCTCCTTCCAATGTCACAATGCATAGCTTGGCGGCCATTCAGCATGACTTATTTTGTACCGATGAGTCCGTTGAGTATACGCACAGAGAGGCCAGATTACCGAAAGTTTGTTAAAAGTGTTTATATGTTTGCTGCACAGGTAACATTCTCCTAGTGGGCACCGGTGCACTCAGTGGGGAGGTGAAGGTCACAGATTTTGGTCTCAGTAAAGTCATGGATAGTAGTGACGACAGTATGGACCTTACTTCTCAAGGAGCCGGTACTTACTGGTACCTCCCCCCTGAGTGCTTTGTTGTCGGGAAGGAGCCGCCAAAAATATCTTCAAAGGTATTGGAATGTCAGTTAGAAAATTTAAATGGAGCGTTCTCACTCACGTGGCCAGCAGCCATGCAAATTAATGAGAACAAAAGAAAGTTCTAACATGAGAAAAGAGTTGACTCCCACAGGATTGGTTTGGTACACCAACATGGCCGCCGTTTCATTGTTTTGGAACACCAATATGGCTGCCGTGACGTCACGTACAAACGCTCTGTAGTTCAGGAATAGGCCCTTTGCACGATCCGGTCACATGGGACGGAATTAATTATGCTGGGACGCAAGTTACACAGTGGGACTTTCAAAACAATGGAAAGTCGGGCTAGACTGGTACGAGTTCCTTTGTTTTGGAAGTCCCACTGTGTAACTTGCGTCCCAGCGAAATTAATTCCGTACCATGTGACCGGATCGTGCAAAGGGTCTATTGAGTGTTTGGGCGTTTCCATTGACTGCGTAGTTTTATTGTAGAAAATACGGAATGGAATTAAGCTCAACCATTCCTTTAATGATAGCCTCTCGTAGGCGTTCAAGTTACGATCTGGGTAAAAATGAGAATGTTTACTGTGATACCCGTTGGAAGGTGTTAAGTGCTCTATTTTGTTTTTAATTTTTCTGTGGGAAGAATCGATCTGTTTCACTTTTCATTGCATTGAATACATTAGTCAGCAAGAAGGAAAAAATCGTCTTTAATGCCATGTATTGACACTTACTTGTGGACAGTGAAAAACTTGGCGATCAGTAAGAAATGAATGGTTTTGTTTTCAGGTAGATGTGTGGTCGGTGGGTGTAATATTTTTTCAAATGCTTTATGGCAAAAAGGTAAGACGAGAATGACGTGAACTTCAGTACTGTACAACTGATTTTGTTTTTTGATTTTAGTTGTTTTAAATTTCTTTTACATTTTTTGATAAAAATACAACGTTGACTGTGAAGTAGATGTACAGGGAATACCGATTGAACGAATTCAAATCATTTATTTGGAGCACTATTCTACACATTTCAGTGTGAGTACCGGCCTGGTTATGCCGTTATCACGTGTTAAAAACTGCTATGGAGCAAAAGTCTGCAATTTTATTTTTTTCAGCCGTTTGGTCACAACCAGACTCAAGCAGCCATCTTGGAAAATAACACGATTCTAAAGGCGAGAGAGGTGGATTTCCCCGCTAAACCTGCCGTTAGTAACGAGGCAAAGGTTGGTACAGTAGCAAAGAAGATTTAGATAGGAAACGAAGCAAGCGTTTTGTTGTTGGCGAGATGTCGGGCTTTTCGTTCATGTACC